ATGTCGTGGCTATTCCTTGATCATGTTGTACGAATTCAACAAATGAACAATCACGATTATGAGCATCGTTATGTCGTGACACATCGTATGTCACGTCATGACTTCGGTCAGAAGGCCAAAACCTTCATTAAATGCTTAATCTCTTAAGACCAAGGCCCATAACCTCAGATCTGGTTCCTAAATAGCTTCATAATGGATAAAGTTTCCAAGTTTCTCCATTAGGATGGTCCAAACAACCAAGATCTAGTCTTTATGTCTCAAAGGGCCCACGAGTGCATCTTTCTCTGCTAAATCCCTTAAGTCCAAGTCTCCAACATTCAGATCTGAATCAACATGATGTTTAGATGGATAAAGTTTCCAACTGTATCCGTAATAATGTGTCAAGCTTTCAATATCTATACTTTAATACAACAAAATGGCCTAAATTACCAAAATAACTTACATGGCGGATAGGGAAGGAAAAATATCAAGAGTTTCCTAGTCCATGAGGTCCAAGAAAACATTCTAAACTGATCAAAAGGTGTTAAAGTCAGATCAAAACTTTATTCCCAACTCTTACTAAAAAATCATTATAATAGACTAAAAAACCAAAATACACTTAGATCCAAGATGAAATGAAATAAAGCTTGGAACTTTATAAGTTACAAAGGTCTAGAAGATAGATGAAAGTTAAGATCATCAATTTCGAAGGTTCAAGGATCAATCTTGCATGAGCATATTGCTTCAAAACCACCAAAAACTCCAAAAAGGATGAGAGAGGAGAAGGGATGATAAAATATTGAAAATGGAGGCTAGGGCTTCCACAAGGGGTTCTAGATATGATGGAGGCTAAGAAAATATCCTAAAACATGAATCCTTACCTTTAAATACCTTGAAAACCCTAAAAATTTGTGGGCTTGGGTTGCACAGTTCCCAAGTCGTGAGAATTACTTCTCACTTCGTGAGAACAGGCTCCTCACGTCGTGATAATTACTTCTCATCTCATGAGAACTGGCTCCTCACGTCGTGAGAATTACTTCTCACCTCATCAGCACGAGTTTTCACCAAATTCCATTCCAACTTCAAACAATCATAACGTCTTCGTTTAAGCTGTGTTTTAAGTGTTCTTTATATGCACGGAAAGGTATTGAGGAGCCCCACAACTCTATCGAATTACCTTTGACTTAACACACACCGAAATAAAATCCTTAATTCACGAAAGAAGTCTGAAGCATCACTTTTCTTATTTCACCGTTTGACTCCAAGACACAAACCAAAGGCTTAGATTACATAACCAATTTTATCAATATCCATAGGTTCTAAGCCCTATTAGCTTGAATCCGAAGGCATTTACTTGATCAATTTATTATCCGCAATCCCGAAATAAGAAACTTCTCGAAACAGGATGTTAGAACGGTTCTTGACTTTTGGGGGGAAACATTAGAGGTACTCTCCTTTGGTTACTCGTCTTATAAAAGGGAACAAGAGATCAATGAATCAAGGAAGACAAATTGGTTTTGTCTAAAGGTATGTATTTTCATCCTTCTCCTATAGCTTAAGAAGTCTGTTTTCAAAGTACATTTCTAATATTGTAAAACTTAGAATCCTAGGGTGCATGTACACTAAGGATAATATCGAATGCTTATGTTGCCATATATAGTGTATATTTGCATACACTACCCAATAACATGGTGTCATTGAACAAAACAAATGTTTAGAAGGCCCAAACCTAAAATTATATATGAGAAATTGATAATAGTTAACCCAATATAATAGGCTCCATTTCTCGACCATAACGTACATAACAAATACGCAAAAAGCAAATTTTTGCCATACATATTAAACTTAAATTGTTACCTAATGAAGATTGGGTATATATTAACAAAACAGATTAAAAATATACAAATATTTTCTTCTTGTGAAGGTTTATTTCTAACAAAATTATATTGACATAAAAGGGAAACTTTATATGAACAAAACATGTATTTAGTATATACAAAGCTTCATTACATGCTAGATGCCCTTTGGAGATGTAAGTCATACCAAGAACATAATTTTCTTAAAGATGATCATTAGTTTCTGCATTATTTAAGAACTTAATTACACCTTCCAATTAAAACTATGGAAATACTCAATTTGTAAATAACATTAATATTTACATTAGTACCAATACTAGATCAACAAAATATATAAGTTTTCGGATGATCACAATTCCAATATACCTCTTATTTTTAGTATAAGGTCTCTTGGTTTCCTTCATTTGCATATTTTTCTATAAAGGCTTCTTTTGTTTTTTGCAAATCCATCCCATGACTTAAAGGAAGCTGATCAACTGAGGCATATTTATAGATAATGAGATCCTTTCTCGGTTCATTCATTCTTGTACAACTAAAGAAGTTAAACCTAAAAGTTAATAAGAAAATTTGAGTTGATTTCAGTAATGTTAATGTGATATGCAAGTATACGTAAGGGGTGTGTGAAAATAAACAAGTTTTTTGCAAAAAAAAAAAAAAGAATAAGTATTTATAGATGTTTATCCAACTCTTTCTATAATGTCAACTAATAAGGTGTGGGGAAGACCGTGATTGGTCCTGTGTCGGCATATACAAGACATCCTATTATCGTTATAAAGTTGTAAAATCATGGGGTTTTTATCACGTTGTTTAAGAGTATGCATGGGAACATTAATGGGAAAAAAGAGGGGTAAATACACAGTAATTTTAAGAAACATGAGAGAAAGAAAACGTGATTTGATGCTTTATTCTTCCAACGATATAACAACGGCGATAAAGGATTTTGCAGACACCCTGGTTGTTTTTAGATCAGAAAAAGATATTTGAGACAATTTTTGAAAATATGATAAGTTGTATATGGGGAAGGTGAAATCCCAATTTGATTTGATGAGGGGAAATGATGATGGTAATTAACCATGTGTAAATATCTTCTGGTTGTAATGTTTCGTCAGGAAGTAAATTGTTATTTTGCTATTAAGACGAATGACAAAAAGTACATAATAGTCATAATAAAATAAATTAAAGATGCTTATAAGTCTATTATTGATGAGAATTAACAAAATAAGATATATACAACTCGAAAAACTCCATACAATAATATAGTGACATGTTTGATCTATAACAACAAGTTTTCATTGGTTATATATATATATATATATATATATATATATATATATATATATATATATATATATATATATATATATAATGAAACACCAAACTAACACCTACTATTAAATACCACGTATGTCTCTTAATGAGATTTGAACCTATGACATTTCAACTAATAGAGTTACTCCTTACAGCTATGCCACAGGCCCTTTGGTTTACGGTTTATATATAGTCATCACAATTAAATGTCACCATAACTTAGCATCAATGATGAGACCTTTCCTCATGCACTGAATGAGAAAAAAACGTCATACAATGCCTATCGCTATTAGTTTTTCTCATCGGAAAAGCCCTTTTTGTACTAGTGGAAGGTGTTGATGAATCTTAATGTTTTGGTTGTATCACTTTGAACAATGTGTGTTAACATTTGTTATCCTTTTGATTTGTATTACACTTTGAACAATTTTTATTGAATATTAATAATCGTTTTGGTTTGCATTAGATATTTAAAAGGTTTTATGAATTTGAATGTTTGTTTATTATGAGTATATAATGCAAATTGTCTAGAATTGTTACAAATAAACAGGCATAAAATGGCAAAAAAAAAACAATTTCTAAAATAAAATAAAATAAACATCCAATGAGCTGTCACAACCGCATGTTGTCAGCATAGGTGTCACTTGTCACTGGAAAAATAATTTTTTACCTATACCGATGACATGTCGTCAGTATAAGTGTCACCGGAAAATCATTTTTGACTTGTACTGGCGATATGTCGTCGATAAACAATTTCCCGAAAATATCAGTTTTGACCTATCCAGCCGACATGTCCTCAGGATGGGAATTATATATATTTGTTTTTGGAAAATCAGTACCGACAGAATTTATGGAGACGACATGTCGGTGTAAGTCAAGGTTCTAAATAACGTTAGCTATGACTTGACGACCATGTCAATCCTCAGCTTTCACGATTCGTGGAAGGTCACGTTAACATATATATATATATATATATAATATATATATATATATATATATATATATATATATATATATATATATTCTGCTATTATTCTTTTTTATATACTTATAGGAATTAAGATGAAATTTTGTTTAATCATCATGTCAAGTAATAGTCTTAGAGCCATAGTGCGTCATGAAGAACTTTTTAGAACCTTGTTAAAAGTAGATTCTATCCCGATAACATCTATCCATATGACTTTTTTGACTTGTAGCGACGAAGCAATATCAAAGATTATTTACTGACAACTTGTTGTCGGTATATGCTTCTTGACGGCATGTCGTCGGAATAAGGTTAAAAAAAATCGGTAATAGAGGATCGAATTTGTGTAGTGTTTGAAAATTAAATGTCATTATTAAATTTTAATGATGAAAACTATTAAAAACACCATAAATAACAAAAAAAAGTTGAAGAATAAAGGAATTACGAGCCAAACAAACCAAAAAGGTTTGGAAAATATGAAGGTTTTTTTTTAAAAAAAGGTGAGTTTTTGTTGAAAAAAATATAATAAAAATTGTATAAAACCTCAACATTTAGGAAACATTCTAAAATGGCTAAATAAAAAAAATGAAAAAATATGATTGATTTTATAAGAATATATAAAATACAAATGAGGTTAAATTCATAAAAAATTCTACAAAGATTTTTTTTATTTTTTTTTATTTTATTATTATTTTTTTTGTAATGTATTTAGCGTTGTTAGTTAATTTCTAGTAGTGAGTCGTAAGATACTAACCCTTTTAAGTAATGGTAAACTTCAAGCAAGCACATGAGAATTTAACATGTCTAAGGAATAATAGAAAGTAAGTTTCGTGAGTTCTTTTGGTCATGTTTTGCGAAACTCGTAACATATAGACGCATTGAAAAAACGATATGTGGTAATGATGCAATCTCATTATTGATAAGTTGATTAAATGCCTCAACGGGCATGTAGTTTCCAACACTTTCCAGATAAACATGTCAAGGTTTGAATGCAGAGAATGCTATTACGGAGTTGTGTCCACCAAAACCAAATGAACTTGAAATAGCTGCATACCAAAATTGGTTAAGTAAATAGGTGAACTTAAGTAAACACGTTATATATACAAACCATCGAGAAAGGGAACATCTACTCACCAACGTTGATTTCATGCTGTTGCTTTTTATTTGCAACAGTGTCGAACTCGACATCAGGTTCTGGGTTCTACAGTTTCAATGAGGACGTTAAGATCAAATTGAAACGATGAAATACAAACATGTAAAGGAATGCAAGTATCACATACAAATTGATTAATGGTGGGATGCAACCATCCTGTTTGAATAGCTTTGATTGTAGCAATGGCTTCTAGAGCTCCAGCTGCTCCCATACAGTGCCCAATCATAGACTGAATAAAAAAAATAAAACAAGATTACGTCAATATTGAGCTAGCTGATACTAATTAAAGAGACAAAATTGACTATGGGCGTCCTCATGCACCTTAGTGGCGTTCATTTTGATCCCTTCGGTGTTCTTAAACACATTCTTGAGTGCATTAACCTCTGCCAGATCTCCTTTCACTGTTGAAGTTGCATGTGCATTGATGTAATTTACCTACCCACAAGAAAGTACTGTATTAATACTAGGTAAATTCAAGATTTTTAAAAGGTAAGTTAATGAAGAAATTAAAAGTGAAGCACCTCCTCCACCGACACCCCAGCATCCACAAGGCAGCTTTGAATGCAAGATGAAAGACCGAGCCCATCAAATCTCGGATTAGTTATATGATAAGCGTCACAATTTATTGCACCTCCTAAGTATTCCGCAAGTATTGGAGCACCCCTTTTCATTGCATGGTCTAAACTCTCCATCACCTTCATACAAAGCAAATCAACATTCACGTATATATGAAGAATCAGTATATCAGATCACAAGATGGGTGGAGAAGTTACCAAGACACCAGCACCTTCGCCCATGACAAACCCATCTCTATCTTTGTCCCATGGTCTAGAAGCAGTTTGGGGATCATGGTTTCTTTGAGATAATGCATTACATGCAACAAAACCTCCCAATTGCACGGGAACAATGACAGCATCAACCCCACCAGCAATCATCAAATCAGCCTTCCCTTCACGGATATGATTAGCAGCAGCATAGAAGCAAAAGTTGGATGTCGCACAAGCAGCTGAGATGGAGTAGTTTGGTCCCATAAAGCCAAGATGAACAGCGAGCAAGGCTGAACCCATGTTTGATAGAGAATAAGGAACCAAAAATGGTGAAATTTTCTTATAACCACTCTCCATTAGAGACTCTAGACCTTCAAACAATACCGTAGCACCACCGAGTCCTGACCCAACAAGCACACCAGCACGTTCCTTATTGATCTACACGGATAATTACTATAACACATTAAATCCAAATTTTAGAAACATGAAAAATGGAAGGTTTTACGTACTTTAGACTGTTCATGGCTGCCAAGACCAGCATCTTCAAGTGCTTTTTTCCCAGCAACAATACAATACCGTTGACAATCGTCAAGTCTGCGCTCAGTTTTCCTATCAATATACTCATTTGACTCGAATCCACGAATCTGACCTCCGATTCGCGTTGGGAATGCTGAAGCATCAAATTTATCGATTAAACTGATTCCGCTCTTCCCTGCTAGAAGGCTGTCGTAGTATGTGCCCACGTCATTTCCAAACACGGAGACAAGACCCATACCTGTGATAACGACTCGCTTTTTTGCATCTTTCTCCCGTGTAGGGGCTGCGGCAGAGTTGTGGGAAGCTATTACATGGCGACGTGTTGCAGTGATGCGTGCTGGTGATTTGAAACTTATGAGTGACGAGCTTTTGCAGACCGGGAACACCGAGGGAACTGTTAAAAGGAAAATAGTTTTAGCTTCCATTATTGTGTACAGCATAATTTTTGAAGATCGTGAAACTATGGAATTGTTATATAGTGCTCGAGTGAAATCCGCTAATCAATCTCGTAATAATTTTAATAGTCAAAAAGTTTTTTTTATATAATATATTGCACAGAAAAATGCACAAGGGTCCATGCATTAAATTCATACCAATTCAATGGATTGACATAGGTAGGTACATTCAGGTCAATATGAAGTTATACACAATAATATTTGGCCATAAACAACACCCATTAATCCATTATTTTATGTCTAAAACATTAACTATTAACTATTAGGTCATCTCCATTGAAATTCATATGAGTTTAATTCATTGACACATATAAATTGCACTCCTTATACAACTTTATCTATTAAACTTTATACGATTTAATAAATTACCTCATCATTTATAACTTTTTTACTTATTATTATTTTTTAAATAACTAATTAGCATGAAATTAAAATTATAAACTACAATTAAAATTAACATTAATTAAAAATTACAAATTATAATTTTGAAATGATTTTTTTTAATATATATATATATATATATATATATATATATATATATATATATATATATATATATATATATGTGTGTGTGTGTGTTTGTATGCATGTCTGCGTGTGAGGAGAAATGGTATAGAGTTCAATGGGTTTTAAACTCATTCTATTGAAACCTAGTCATTTTCTCACGATAGAGCTTTTGAGTTTATTGAGATTAAACTCCCAATTAAACAATGCATTAAACTCCCATTGGAGATTACCTTAAATGTGTTCTCATATCACATCTTATCATATTTTTGGTCTTCTATCACCACCACATCATTTTCCTCTCATCCTCCCTCACCACATAAAGCTGATAGGATGGTCTTAACACACTACCTCATTTTTTTTAATATTCAAATATAATAATGTATCAATATTATATTTTATCTGTAGAAAATTTAAAACCATAAATTTGATATATGTTTCTATAACTTTTTAATATATATATATATATATATATATATATATATATATATATATATATATATCGTTTAATAGAAGTATCCTAACAGTGCCACATGTCAGTTCTTTACATCTTTTTTTAGCACGTGGCAGGTAACTAAAGGATCTGCCCTGAGTGTAACTAAAGGAATGAGTCTTTTTTTACCACGTGGCGGGTAACTAAAGGATCAGTTTTTTACATCTTTTTAAAACCATCTTTTTTTTACATCTTCTATCCATAAATTTGATATATCCTTTTTTACCATGTGGCAGGTAACTAAAGGAATGAGTCTTTCTTCATTGTTGGTCAGAAGTATCATGTCCTTAATGCTTTGGAACATAAGGATCTGCCCCGACTGTGGTTGTCGCAGTCCCCTTCGTGGATGTCCTTCACCACCTCTATAGCTTCGTGATCTTCTAAACACCTGAGGTATGGTTCTGCCACAGATTTTCTATACAAGTTACCTTGGATTATAATGAACTTTGAGATCCTAGTTCTGAATGCTCTCTCATTTTTCTCTTCCGTAGGGATTGTGCCATTTTGGAGGCATTCCACGATGGGTTGGATCTAGGAGCCTGAAGTTAGGGAAGGGTCCTGAATGTTGGTATCCTGAACTTAGACCGTTGAGTCGGGATCTTCGATTGCGGCAACGTCGGTAGTCTCCCCGTGTTCATGGGAGTCTTTAAGTTTCTTGGTGGGATCCTTGATTTTTGGGATTAGTATGTGGATTATAGGGATCCTGGTTTTCGGCGGGATCCTTAAGGAAGATCCTAGATTGGCTAGAGCATCTGCTTCAACATTGTCTTCTCTAGGAACCTGGTTTAGGCTGAATGTTTCGAATTCTTAGGCCAAGTTATCGAGAATTTGGAGATATAGAGCTAGATGTTCTCCTTTCACTGCATAAGATCCATTAAAATGGTTAGTTAGTAGTAAAGAAGCGACGAATTCACAACTGATTTCCTGGGGTAGGATGTCCCCCTGTGGTGATTTTATATGATCCCTAAGCCAGTTCCTCTTTGGTTCGATGCTCCATCTGTGAATAACGTCAACCTTCCCACATTTTGCTCTTCTAGAAGCTGTTTGGCTTCTATTTCAACTTCAGCTCTTAGATCCTCACTAAAGTCAGCCACAAAATCTGCTAATGCTTGGGACTTTATGGTCGATCTTGGTTCGTACTTTATGTCATACGTTCTTAACTTCACAGACCGTTTCGCCATTCTACCTGATATTTCTGGTTTTCTCATAACATTCTTAATTGGATAGTTAGTTCTTACGATTATAGGGTGTGTTTCCGAATAATGTCTTAATTTAGTAGAAGTTCTTACTAATGCAAGTATGAGCTTTTCAAGGTGAGAGTAACTAGTCTCAGGATCCAAGAGACTTTTACTTACATAGTATATGGGATGTTGGTTCCCATCGAGATCCTTGGCTAGTACAATGCTTACCGCTTTTGAGGATACTGAGAGGTAAAGAAGGAGTGGCTCCTCATCTAGTGGTTTTGCCAATAGAGGCGGTGAGCTTAAATATTTTTTAAGTTCTTGGAAATCGTCTTCATGTTCCTCGGTCTACTCGAATCTTTGTTCTTCTTTAATATTTTGTAGAAAGGCTTGCATCTTTTTGAGAATCTTGAGATGAACCTGTTTAGAGTTGCCACTCTCCCTGGTAATATCTAAATATCCTTTGTCGAGGCTGGTGATTTCAGATCAAGGATGACCTTGAATTTTTCCGGGCTTGCTTTGAATCCTCTTTTGGTAACCATGTATCCCATGAATTTACCCGATCTCATCCCAAAGTGGCACTTGGAGGGAATCAGCATCATGTTATATTGGTATAGGATGTCGAAGGCTTCCTCGAGATCCTTGAGGTGACCCTCAGCTTTTTTGGATTTGACTACCATGTCATCAATGTATACCTCCAACGTGTCCCCCACTTTCTCCCTGAACATCTTATTCACCAATCTTTGGTATGTTGCTCCTGTATTTCTTAAGACCAAATGGCATAGCAGTGTAACAATAAATACCTATTGGGGTTATGAACATTGTGTCCTCTTGGTCAGAGAATTCCATTTGGATCTGTTGGAATCCTGCTCAAATGTCCATGAACAGCAGTAATTTGTGGCCCGTTGTTGCGACTATCATTGAGTCAATCTCTGGTAAAGGGAAAGGATCCTTGGGACAGGCCTTCTTAAGATCCGCATAGTCCACATACGGTCTCCATTTACCGTTCTTCTTTTGTACCACGACAACATTAGCTATCCATCTTCACCTCCTTTATCATGCTAGTTTTGAGAAGTTTTTCTACTTCTTTTTGTATAACTTGGTTTCTTTCGGGTGCAAATTTCCTTCTCTTTTGGTGTATTGTCCTGAAAGAAGGGTCAATGTTAAGTTTATGAGTTATTAGGTTTTTTTGAATACCTGTCTGGTCCTCATGTCTCCACAAAACGTTTTGCTTCTGGCCTTGAGGAACTTTATAAGATCTTGTTCGATTTGTTCAGGCATTGATGATCCTCTGAGAACTTTGGCTTCAGGATCCTCAAGGTTCAAGGGCACTTCTTTTATGTCATGCTCTCTTGCGTCTAGTACGCCTCGTGCCCCATGCCTTAATTGCTATCCTTTTCCTGGTATTGTTGAGGACTTCATCAAGGTTTTGTAGCATTCCTTGGATTCTTGTTGGTCTCCTATGATCTACACTGTCCCCTATGGGGTGGGTATCTTTACGCATTGATGATATGTCGATGGAATGGCCTTCATTTCATGGATCCACGGTGTACCTAATATGAGATTATAAGAAGATAATATGCCAATCACACAGAAACGTTGAACAAAATTTACTCCATCTAGTAGATTGGTAGCTTTATCTCGTCGATGGTGTGTTTAGTTTCTCTGCTGAAGCCGATTAGTATTGAGGATCTTGTAACTATCTCAGACTCTGGGATGTTCATTCTTTTTAGTGCATCCAGGAGTATGACGTTAACTGAGGATCCTCCCTCGACGAGGATCTTTCTGACGAAGTGGTTGCCAATGTAGAGAGAGTAATCACTTGTCTGTCGTGGTGAGGATCTTGGACGTCCTGTCTGTCCGCTTCGTCGAAGGTGATATCCTTTTGGTTAGTGATCGTTGTGTTTTTCTGTGGTCCATTTTCCTTCTTCGTTTTGGATACTTTGGCATGCCTTTTTTCCGTAGAGTAGGAGGTACCACAAATGTCAGATCCTCCAGAGATCATGTTGATCACCTTGGTGTCAGCGGGGGCCGGGGGGGGGGGGGGGGGATCTTGGTTTGTCCAGGTTCTTTTGAGGATCCTGGTCTTTTTCTTTGGATTTTTCCGTTCTTCTCCCAAGGATTTCTTTGAGATATCCTTTGCCCAGGAGGTAGCTGATTTCCTTTCCGACAGCTATGCAATCCTCCGTGACGTGACCACAGTCCTCATGATATGCACACCATTTGGACTTTTCCTTCCAAGCAGTAGATTTTTCTCCTTTCCTTGGCCACCTGGCTTTGTCTCCAAGATCCTGCATGGCGAATATTACACCTTAAATGTCCACAAAAAAACAATAATCAGTAATTTTATCGAAATATTCTTCCCCCCCCCCCTTCATCTTCAAGGGCATTAACCATGTGATGGTCAGGTTTGGAGTAAGGCTTTGACTTATAGGATCTTTGGGTCGAGGAATCGGACTTCCTATTGGGGTGATCATAACAGCTTGGTGGGTTGCTCCTTTTTTGGATCTCCTTATCTTCTTCGAGTATGATGAATCTTAATGCCCTGCTCTTGACTTCGTCTAATCTCCTTCATGGGGTCATTACGACATCTTCGTAGAAGGGAGAATCCTTCTTTAAGCCCATTTTAAAGGCTTCGACTGCAGTTGCCATGCCGATGTCGGGGATGCTCAAAGAATCCCTGCCAAACATGTTCATAATAGTCCTAACGGATTCCTTACGATCTTGAACCACTCGATAGAGATCACTGGTGATCTTTTCGAATGTTCTGCTACAAGAAAATTGATTACTAA